AGAGAGAGAGAGAGAGAGAGAGAGAGAGAGAGAGAGAGAGAGAGAGAGAGAGAGAGAGAGAGAGAGAGAGAGAGAGAGAGAGGGAGAGAGAGAGAGAGCAAGCGGGAGAGCGAGAGAGAGAGAGAGGGAGAGAGAGAGCGAGCGGGAGAGCGAGAGAGAGAGTGAGAGAAAGAAAGAAAGAGAGAGCGAGAGGGAGAAAGAGAGAGAAGTGAGAGCGGGAGGGAGAGAGATGGAGAGAGAGGGAGAGAGCGAGAGAGAGCGAGAGAGAGAAAGCGGGAGAGCGAGAGAGAGTGAGAGAAAGAAAGAAAGTGAGAGCGAGAGGGAGAAAGAGAGAGATAGTGAGAGCGAGAGAGAGAGATGGAGAGAGAGAGATAGAGGGAGGGAGGGAGGGAGGGAGGGGAGGGAGGGGAGGGAGGGAGGGGGAGAGAGAGAGAGAGAGAGAGAGAGAGAGAGAGAGAGAGAGAGAGAGAGAGAGAGAGAGAGAGAGAGAGAGAGAGAGAGAGAGAGAGAGAGAGAGAGAGAGAGAGAGAGAGAGAGAGAGAGAGAGAGAGAGAGAGAGAGAGAGAGAGAGCGGGAGAACGAGAGAGAGAGAGCGAGAGAAAGAAAGAAAGAGAGAGCGAGAGGGAGAAAGAGAGAGAGGGAGAGAGAGCAAGAGAAAGAGAGAGCGAGAGAGAAAGAAAGAAAGAGAGAGAGAGAGGGAGAGAGAAAGAGAGAGAGGGAGACAGAGAGAGGGAGCGAGAGTTTTGTCACATTTAAACTTGTGCCTGTGCGGTTGCTGCTTGGTCATTTGCATTCCAGAGGAAGCCGCGAACGGACGTGAGGCCTCTGGTTAGGTGTCATGGCCTGCTCCAGACTGGCGTCAGGTCGTGGTGAGTGTGATCATTTCGTAGTAGCCAGATCAGGTGGTGATCGAAAGCGGTCGCGGGCCCAAAAAAGAAACTTCAATGTGTACTGTGGTGCGAAGCTAAGTTTCTTGCACTCGGCCACGTCAAGTCCTTCGGCACAACAGATGTGTGGTCGTATTTACAGCGGCCTCCAATCACACGGACGCAAAAATCCAGCACCTTTTGCACTTCGCCGAGGCTCCGTGGCTCTTCGAGTACCGTATACAGACACAATACTGTAGTGTAAATACTGAGGTTCTGTGACTTCTCAGGTACCACATACAGACACAGAACAGTAGTGCAAATACGACCAGGGAGGTCACCTGATGTTTTTGTCACCACACGTGATTTGTCGTCAGAACGTGACGGATGTGGCCACCATTTGCCATGTGCTTATCCATGACGAGGGCAAGGTCTTCACTGATGTGGACTTGTCAATTGCATTGTCTGCAAACACAACGCTTACGGATTTCGTGCCGCTCAGTATGGGAGTCGTGCCGAAAACAATCAGTTGGCTCTTCGACGTGTTGATCTTCATGGCATTGTTACGGAACGATGCTTGCAGCTTTGATAGCTCCTGTTCCGTCTTCGAAATCAAGTTATTCAGCCGGCCTTTTTGTCAGAGACTAGAAGCTTCGTGTGCCAGCCAGCAGCACGGCTGTTATTTCAGGTACGTGTAGTCACGGACCGTTTGCGAACATGGCGAACGACGGAGAGCTGAGCGATCTACCTTATCAGTTCCAGAGGTGATTGGTGGAGGCTTCGAAAGGACAACTGCACTATCGGTGCTGCCAGTTTTCACTTGATGTGGATGTCCGTAAAGGCAATGTCGAAGGCAACTAGTGCAAAACATAATGAAGGCTTAGCTTTGTCATGATATGGCATGTCATACTTCATCGGAGTATTCAGGTCAATGCCAATAACTGATGCCTCTCCACTGTCCGTCGCTCTGTACACATTGTCGGCTATTCCAACGGGTACCCTCTCGGTAGATTGGCTGGACTTGCATCAATGCTGTGCGTGCGTGAATAAATCATGCTCGCTTAAGTACTCCGCGATTTGGCACTGAAAATCGCATACGTAAATTCTCATGATTTCAGGTGACAGTGATGCGGTTCTAGTACTGCCAGTTGTAGATCTGGCCGCTATTATGAAGGTGGCCAAAACTAGTGCATGTGTCTAGTGGGTCGGAACTACCCAGTGTCAAGACGATGTCTAACGAGTCCAGTTAAATGTGACCCATATCCGGGAAGAATCGTTGACACATTCAAGCACCATTACCGTCCAAACCAGTAAATACGGTCCAAACCGGCAAGAGCTGATCCGCTTCATGCATCGTACATGTAACACAAAACAAAGCGTCAATAGTAAAAGGCTGTACGCGAAAGCACAAGAGAACACGTGCGGAGTAACAGCAGGCAGCGCTCTCTGTAGTGCTTGTGCGCCAGCCGATGTCGTCGAGCATGCGCAACATAACACGTATTAATCGTGTCCACTGTACAAGCCGATGTGACAGTGTCGACACTTGTCCTGCTTCTGTGTCTGGCCGCAGCACCGGCAGCATCCTGGATGAACCCGCTTCACGTAGCTGGTCGGCGAAATACGCGGCGTGGTCGCGCCTGATGGCGGGACGTCTCTGCCGGCTCATTACCATGTACTCGACGCGACTCTGGTCGGTTTATCTTGAGCAAGTGATGACCCTCCTTCTCTGACATCCCTGTGCCCCGTGGGAGGACGCAGAATGTCATAACCCATTTGCAACGGGCTCGGACGCTATGGAAAACGAATTGCACAGCGGTTCAAGTAGACCATTGGTGCACAGGACTTAAAAAGCCATCTTTAAAGTTGCATTTCGCAGATACATTGCGGCGTCAAGGTTGAAAAACTTGCGATATGGAGTGCTTCACAAAGTTTGAGATATCATGCCCCAGTTTTCTAGGCATGTATCATAGAAATATAATTCAGGCTGTATTCCGTCCCTCTTGTTAGTCTATTCCACATTTAGTGGCAGAATGAAAGGTTCCGTGTGCTGGCTTTCGACCTCTCTCTTGACCTCTTCGACCTTCAACCTTTTTCTCTTACCCGATCTTCTTCCAATTGGTAAACAAATCGGTGGCTTTTTCATGTCAATCATACATTCACCGGAATGCTTATTTTACCACGTAGACATTTGAAATATCCGTATAGAGTGAATATACCTGAACTACATGCCTACATATCTGAATATGATAAAGCCGAGTCAGAATTGAATGTTCATATCCGGTGTCGCTAATTTTCTGTCGGCCGACTCTGGGGAGGGCTATGGAGATCATGTTATCCCTGGCCGTTAAGCTAAGGTTAATTATGTACCAATCAGACTGCGTCAAAAACTCTGTTAAATCGATGCTGCATATTTGCTTCACGCCGACACAGTTTTAAGTAGAATCTGGCTACATCACCTACACATCTAACCTACCTACACATCAACTTCAAACCCAATGTTCAGCATCAAAGTATTCAGAATTCGATTTCTGGGCGTGGCGTGCTTCACTTTTACTGGCATAAAGATCAGGAGGGGTTGCAGGACTAATTTAAGTTTTAATGACATGTAGCAATAAACCATCCGACCCGAGCCATAAATTTTAGCGAACCTGTTATCGCGGCTGCGACGTTCCCACGGATCAAAACACATATCGCTCTTTGATTGAAGTCTGGGCCTTTTGATCTCAAACACAAGGTGCTAGCAGCTAAACAAAGTGCGTCTACAACATGCGCTGACTGTTAACGTGCTGACCCATGCCTTTCCAGACGCCTTTTTGCACGCTGCAAGGAGATTGTGTACTGCCATTTTATCAGGAGCATTTTGAGCTGCTCGTGCTGCTGGTGTTCATGCACAGCGTCCCGTAATGTCAGGTCAAGTGAGCGAAAAATTAAGTCGTCCGTGTTTGCACAGTTCTTTTGTCTGATTCAACACTTAAATGTGGGGCTAGCGATAGTGTAGTCAAGCGGCGCGAAAGGGAAACTAGAGGTAGGAGGATCGATTCCGCATATGCCCGCCCTTCCTTCCGGGGTGAGAGGCAGGCTATGCCATATAGCCTGAGCAGCTGAGTGCGTCAGAGAACTCCAATCCCGACATGAAATGTAAATTCGTGCACACAACATTGACAAAAACAAGTAGCCGTACGACTGTGAAGTGAGAACAGCGCTCAGGTAATCGCATGTCTTATGGTAGCAGGGAGCGCCCAACACATTTAGAAGTGTTTGACTATCTGCAGTCTTGGGTCAATAGGCGCCCCCTAGATGACATAAGCACTTGTGACCTAAAAAGTGCGGCATAACCAATATCATACAACCCAGTTAAGTCATCCCGGGATATGACCGATTTAAGCGTAGACTGTGATGTCATAAGTTAGTCGGAGCCCGTAACTTCTATGCTGTGTTTCAATTTGCCGCGCGTTCCGGAAGTTCAGGCGGGACCATATCCTATAGACCTCCTCACTACGGGATATTCAGGCACATATTTGTGAGCAGAGTTGCCTTCACCTCAAACTCCGCTCCGGGCTTACCTCTGATGGCCGAATTTCTCCGAGGACGCTAGCCACTCAGTGATAACTCACAATTTAATTATGCCGATGGCAAACGGAAATAGAGTACATACGTCAGCTCAAATCGAAACGGCTGACTCCTGGCGTAGTCGTACACCGCGCCTGTCACGTCACAGCCCGGTGGAAGCGTGCCTATGCTGACGTCAGTGACGACGGGTCCCTGGGCATGCCTTCGCTCGGACACGGTGCTGGCAATAGCTCATTAGTTGGCATCAGCTTGGCTGTGAGGACCGCTGCAATATTTCACCACAGCAGCGAAGGTGTAGTAGTTTGGGCCGTGGTCCCGCCGCTGTCCTGGCTGTCTTCGCCATTCCGTCTCCCTCAGCGGGGTCATCAAAAGTCACTCACGCGGTGCTATCTGGTGCGGTTCGAGCGCCGTTAAACGGTCCTGTCGCGGCCATCTTGGCTGGCCTCTGGGACTGCGAACGCACCGAAGCCCGTGCAACTTCGGCGACATCCTCCAGCGGAGCCGCACCGGCGAGGTGCGGAGTGCTGGTGCGCCGGCCGGAGGCCGTCCCTCTCCCTCCGACAGCCCCAGGGCCGAGCAAATCCACCGGCACGCCCCCGGCTGGACGGGATCGAGCGCGCCGAGACGAGGTCCGACGCGGCGGCCCCCACGTCAGGCCGGACCCCGGATTTTCCCGACGGCCGGCTACACTATCTGCGGCTGAATCGATCGGCGGATGGCTGCGCCTCCAGTCGGAACCGAACGTCGTTCGTCACGCACGGGCCCTCTGTCGCCAGTAAATCATTGATTATGTCCGGTAATCTGCATGCACCGGCCCGGCGCTGTCCCCGGAGAGGGCGCGACTTGATGGCGCGTTGCGTCGCGACCAATGGGAGCGCTCGGTGAGCTTCGCGCCGCCGAAATTGACCGAGCACCACGGTCAACGGGGCGCCGACCAGCCGGGTGCTGGCTGGATGGTGCCTGCCTCCGGCCGCCGAGAGGGCCCGAAAGAGTTCCAGGCATGTACCGGGGTAGAAGTACATGATTTAGTGTGTCCGGTGTACTTTTGATGCCCAGTGTCCGCTGATGAGGCCAGGAGTTTTCAACGTCGGTTATTTCGATATCGTGCGGACTTTGTTATACATCCACATGTACGGAACTATACCAGTCACGTGTGTGAAGGAATCACGACCGGCACTACCTGCCGAGCTTCTCTCAGTGAGAGGTCAACACGACAGTTTTAATCGAACCAGATAACGGAGCTATTTAGCTACAGTCGCTGTGTTGTTATCACTTCACCGGATTAAAGGGAGTGCCCCACAATTGTGTGAGGTTTTGGACTGAAATAGCTGCTTTGGAGATCATTGGTGCAGCTTACAGCCCCGCGTCTAGACTCCTCTAGGACTCCTCTAGACATCGCGATTTCTGCAGCTAGTTAATGTGCTCCTCAACGCGTCATTGTTTGGTTGCATCACCGTGCCTTGCACGATATTAATTGAGAGGCAATTTACAGGCCGTTTTGTCTAAGAAAGCACGCTCACGAACACTATTCATGAACAACTCGGCAGGCCTTCGCCGCAATGCCAGCGTAATAGCAGGATTTGGTGACGTCATTACAGCGTCGCGGATGCCTGGATAACCTTGAAATAGTCTGCACAAAAAGGTCTGCACATCTTCGCTGGCGTGTAGCTCAGAAAGTAGAGTGCTTACGGCCTGAGGAAGAGCGGGCTGTGGACTGCACCGAATAACCTTTAAGACAGCTTTTTTCAGCTCAAAGCTATAAAAGTCTAGAAAACTCCATTTCATACCTAAATGCCTCTAGTTTCTGAGCTACACACCCGCGAAGATGTGCATACTATTTTGATCTATTTATTTTGAGCTATTATATTTGAAGGTTACTCAGCGTCTGTGATGACAAAATAATGTCATTAAAGGCCTGTCATTGCTCTGGCCATGCAGCGATCAAGGTCAAGAAGAATAAAATTGTCCAGTCGTTCCTACCTGGCGTTCATTTGCACGATTTCCAGATATGACAGCTGCCAATTGGCTCTCAATCAATGTTGTGCAATGTACGATGACGTAAGCAAGCAATGCCGTGTGGAGAAGGACGCTCACTAAACAGAGCAATTGTATCAAGGGCAGTCTCTTCCACTAAAAAGCATGCCAATAGCTGCAAGTGAGCTCATTTGATCACATCTGATCCATGCTTCATTGTCTCTAAATGCAGGGTATTCCCTTTAAGAACCACTGCACCATATTTAAATGATCTGAACAACCCTGCCGTGTTCATGCACTGCGAATGATCACTGGTCCCTGAAGCGGCGTGGAGGAAGCCACTATTTCGACCTGGTACCTATCAAACTTTCCCTGCAGGCATTACCAGCAGATGCCTCTCAGTGGGCGGCCATCGCGGCATCAAGAGCAATAGAGCCGGACACTGCCTAATTTAGCCATTTAGTTGCAGTTGTCACTGTCTTCCATCCTCAAGATTACAAATTGACGGCATATGGAAACGTCTTATCTTTCTCGCTATGGCCAACCCTACCAGGTGCTGTTACGGGTCTTTCTATGTGTCGTAGTTTTATGGTCGGGCACTATAAGTTCGTGAAGCTCTTGAGTGTGATGGGAGCCAAGTTTGATAATTCAAGGAAATACAAATGCAAGAACATGAGCGATTTAGTGTGCAACTGAAGCACTTCAATGCAGTGAAAGGGAAGCATAACACATGGCTGGACAAAATCATTCGCGCGTCAAGCAGGGCAATAGCTGGGAAATATGCCATTTTTGCAAACAATGTAGTCGTCCATAGTACATTGTGTCATTAATTCAGTGCCCACGATTGCTTGTGGTTGGAAAAAAGTGTTTGATACTGGCTTAACCGTGCTTTGAAAGTCCAATATCATTTTATTTGAAACGGTCCAGGAAGTCCATAAACAAGCGTAGTCATCCTATACCTGAGACCTATGGGCGGATTTAATGGTAATGGATACGGTTCTAAAATGCGTTCGGTGCACGGCAAGGTGTTTTTCACAGGTGCGTCTATAAAAAACGACTGCTTAATTTGACGATTTAATCCTCGCCTTCAAAAAGGAAAAGGGGAACTATGCAACCTCCAGTAAAGTTATCAGAGGATTTTTTCCGTCATGTCATGTAATCGCACTCACAGTAATCGCACTGTAATCACAGTTTTTTCTAGACTCTGGGGCTCATTGCAAAAGTTTGAATACCACAAGCATGTCCATATCTTTCCTGGTTTGTTTCTGCGAAATGTTGTTTTTTTAGGGACAGGTTTTTCAGGAGCATTGCATGGCGACCTACGGCCGGCATGGACGACGGGCGGTAACCGATGACGCCGCCGACCGCAGGCGGTGGACCCGCAAGGGCGGCGCTGCTGTGCTCACGGAGCCGTACATCATACATTTATGCATAAAACATACTCATAGCTATATACTTATATGTTATATGTTGACATGGGTTCAGCTTTTTTACCTGGCAACATGCAACTGTATATAATGTAAATTCATCCTGCGATAGCTCAGCTGACGGTTGAGCTTTGGGTGGCTCCGTGTTTAAGGAGTTTTATTAGTGTTTTTGTACCTGGGTAATGTTTGCGTTTAGTATTGTGCTGGATTGAGTTTTAACGTTGTGGTCGCCGGGTATGACATTGCTGTTTAATATTCGGACTGCTTTTGAAGATGAAAAAGTCCAACCAACCTAAAACGGTGAGTTTGTGAAACTGGACGGAAAGGCTACCACTTTTTTAGCCAGGGAAGACTGATCAAACTTTACTTAGAAAACGTGCCGTCGCGGCGTTGTCACTTCGTTTTTCAAGATAGGCCAATTTAGTTAATTTCAAGTCCTCAAAGAATGACCAAAACGGAAACGGTGGAATTGCGCAGCCAACTTAATCTGCTGTAAAACCAAGTAAACAGCCAAGAAGAAATGATTAACTGTCGAACAATGCAGATACCCGAAATGACCATCGTGTTTAAAGACATGCAGGCAGAAAAGAAGAAAAAAAATGGTTGATGGTCAAGACGCAGGACTGAAAGACCTTCAGTTTGCTGTAAGCCAAATTGACGACGATCCTGACTTTCTTAAACGGCAACACAGAAATTGTGAAGACCAAACAAAAGTCATTCATGAACTGCGAGTGTTATGGCGAGTTTTATGCACAGCCGCCATGGTAGCTGCTGGGAGTAAGCTAGATGCTGAAATGCAGTCAAGACATGCAAGGATGAATTTAGGCAATGCAAGGACACCAAATCGCGGCAACGAACCGTACGTTGCAAGAAAACTAGAAGTGATCTCCGCCGCAAAACTCGAATCAAAGGAAAACGAAGGTGGAAAAAACGAGGGAGACACAAGAACATGCGAGATGTAAACGAGCGGTAGCACAGTTGCTGAAGAAGCGGAACCAAGCAGCCAACTCACTCGAGGTACTTATGGAGAAGAGAACAACAGAGGGCATCGACTAAACGTAAAGAGGGTTAGTGCAGGAGAAAAGGTGGTAGACGCCGTAGAAAATGCAGATGGCGGTCATGCATGGACCAGAGTGGAGAGAAAGAAAAAGAAAACCGAAGATGCGAAAATGTGGAGCAATTTTGATCGGCGGAAGAAATGTAAACCGGATCAAAGCAGCGGCCATCGAAGAGTTTATTTTCGACCAAAACGTATGTTTTATTACAATGACGAGTAATGAACTTGATGAGACTTTAAAGAGCGCAGTCACAAGGAATAAAGCAAAGGAAGTAGATGTTGTGGTTCATATTGGGGCCGAAGATGCTGTCCCGAAGATGCTGAAGACGAAGTTCCGGACGAGCTGGAAGTTTGCAAGAAGCTACAAGAAGTTGGACAAGACACTGACTGATTTTAATTCTCCAAGTGCATCACTAAACCTATCACCCACTGGCACGACAGATCACACAACTATCGTATGACTGGCTGCAAAACAAGTAGAAAAATCTGAAGGCTATTGCTTTGTACTGCCTAGGACTCATCCATCAGAAGTTTTGGCAAATGGATTTGCTGCCAGGGCTGGCAAGATATAATAGCAATAAATGATATAGACCAAGCTGCTGCTCGACTAGAACTACTACTTCAAAATGTTTGTGAGGAAAATGCAAATGCAAGACAAGTGAGCTGCAGTGGATAATAAAGCGCCTCAAAGAACTGATAAAGAAACGCAATAGGGCGCACAGTCGTCATCAAATGGACAGGCTACAAAAACTTAGACCCAAAGTAGGCCTAGAAATTACAGCTGCAAAAACCGCATGGCACAAGAAACGAATCCGAAGAATCGCTTCTGGCCGAAGAGGGTGATAATACAGACAAGTAGCCAGCTAAACCAACCGAAAACCAAAACCATGGAGCCTTGATCTTGCGGAAGCCCGTGACGATAAATCAAAAGCGGAACAAATAGATCAGTTTTTTGCTGAATTATGCACAACGTATGGACCGCTGCGCACAGAAGAGCATCCCTGCTATCTGCCTGCCGATAACATTCCTGCTGAGATACAGCCGTGGCAAGCTGCCTTTCAACTATCGCAGTTGAGAGAAAATATGGCCGTGCCCACTGGACAACTTCCAGTGCGGCTACTAAAGGAGCTTTCTATGGAACTGGCCGTACCACTTACTCATATTTTCAACCGGTCATTGCATGAAGGGAGCGTGCCATCGGTGTGGAAGAGAGCGACAGTCACCCCTTTGCCAAAGAAAACATCC